AGTGATGACTGGCTGAGTGGTCTAGTGGTATGATTCTCGCTTAGGGTGCGAGAGGTCCCGGGATCAATCCCCGGCTCAGCCCGTGTTTTATAAAAATCGCATCAGACCCAGCGTGTGTACCATTAAGTGGCACTTTGCGCTGACTGATTCAGTCGATGCATCTTCACCTACTGTTAGTTTTATCTAAGGTTTCCTTTCAGAAATCTGCTAGATTTCAACAAACTCACTGATCTCACATCTGACAAATTTCAAATTCACCAAGAAAAACTTTTTTCGCCAATAGTTCTACAATATCACTGAATCTTATTTAAGTGAATTAAGATTTGGTGATTAATGACCTCTAAAATCTTTCGATCTCTTTTCTGATCTTATACTTTTCTGTATTAATCTACGAGACATCAATTGTAAGTAATCTTGTGGTCGTCTCATTAAAATTTCCAATCCTAAGTTCATTTTTTTATAGGACATATTAGAAAGCTATGCCGCTGCGAAAAAATGACCTACTAAGCTGAAGATGAGAATAGGAAGTATGAAGAACTTTGAAGTGTAAAGAGCTGCCTGCACTTGACATTCGATGTCAAGGTGTCGCAAAAGATTTGTCGTGAATAGGCACAAATGGAAACTGAAACGAGAATATTATTGTAAAATGTACCTACTTCCTTCGAAAAAGTATTACTGTAAAGTTTGAACCTTTAGAGTTGCAATCGCTTGCAATGAATTCAGTAAAACAGTTCACTACAACCAATGAAACAACTTATGACGATAACCAAAATAAAATCAAGTAACGAGAGAAAACGATACGCTGTAGAAGATGTAATTTAACAGATGCATGTACGTGTGATGGACGAGATGATAAAAGGAAAAAACCGTGGTTACATGGAGTGGACGAAGTAATGCCCAGAAAACGGCCAGCTCGGATAGAATCACGAGTCCTTTATAGTATACAAGTGGGAGGTGTATACAAGTGTTTACAATGTTTATGAGGGATATTATATATACATAACATGAACAAAGGGGACTCACAACATAATTTCTAGACAGTGCGTTAATAGACGATGCACCCATCACAATGGGCTTTGTTTAGAGCTAATATGAATGGGCGAAAAGAATTGCATTTAAATTGGGTACAACCATTTTAGGTTTCCCGGCATTCTCTACTGGATGAAGTCAATGCTTGCAAGAAACAGTTATTGAATTCGCAGAAGGGCAAATTATTTTGTTGAACTGTGTGTTTGTGACAATCTAGCTTCTTCTTGTTTGTTGATCTTCTGGGTTGATTCCTTGTTCTCTACTGGTTCAAGTTGAGCGATCTCTTCGTTATCTACCTTCAACAATGAATTGAATAAATAAATTCACTGGCTCGATGATGATTTTTCTGCAAGGTAGTTCCAATATGGCGTTCCTTACTGCTTCTTCTTTTGGTCTCTTTGGACTCCTTTAGTTTGGTCAGCTCCCACATGCCTCGAGCAATCTCAGGTTTGTTAATGAGTTAAGTTTATGAGGATCCTATTGTGTTCGTTACCTTAGACTAGCTAAATATTCTTTCCAAATTTTCGGGAAATGTCGGGAATCTTCAGCGAATTTTACCAATCTTTGAAGAGTTTTTTTCCCTGAGATTCAGTTTGTAAGGAAATAAATTCATCACGCTTTCCATTGTCGATAATCGGTGAAATTATTAGAGTGTTTGGCTAAATGAAATCTATGGAGCATACCACTATGCGATCATGGAAATTCACGTCAGTGATCACGTGTCCAGGATACTTTTCATTTCTGCCATTGAAGTACTTAATGCCATCCCATTGATGCCTTTGTTAATTTGATCATGCTTCTGTTTTTAAAGTGAATTATCACATTTGTACTCAGTAGTACCAGACTTTGAGGAAAACCATGAAATACATCAGACAAATGGGTACAGTTTATCAATATCTATGAGGGATACATATACATAATATGATTAAAAGAGATTTACGATATAAGATTGAAACGGTACATTAAGAGACAAACCTTTATACTGTCACAATGGTCTCTTTGTTTATTACCGTATATATGACAACTAATGTAGACGAAGAGAGAGTAAAGAGAGAAGATTTAAAATCAATGTAAATCATAGATACACTGTACAAAACTGCTTGGATTTTCCAATAAATGTGGTAATTAGAGAAAAATGAACATTTTTTAGAAAATAACACGAAATCCAACCTTTAGTTTATGACCTGAGATATTCTGATAAGATCATGAACAAATTGATCTATAGTTGTTAATAATAAGTAGTGAATTAAAAAAGGAATAAAGAAAAGAAATATGGTGACAAAATTGGGGGTCAAAGTTAATATGCATATTAAACTTAATGCTTTAAATTATTGAAGTATGTATATAAAATAAATATGGATTAAACCGAACAAGTAAACAATAAAATGGAGCAAAATGATGTATAAAAAAGTACTATTATTGAGGAAGATTTCACGATAATCTTTAATTTCATTCGGCACTTATCAGTTTACTTATCATTATTGTATGATTGATTATTTGTGATAAGAAAAGTGGAACTTTCATTTCCTCCATCATTTTACAATTCAACTAGCTTATTTATTCGTTATCCCTTTTTTTTAAAAATACAATTTAATCCATTATTGAAATTATTTCCATAAGAAATGTAATTGAGTAATCGTCGTGAGCCTCATTAGCTCAGTGGCAGAGCGTCTGTCTTGTAAACAGAAGGCCGCTGGTTCGATCCCAGCATGAGGCATGTAGAGATTCAAGGATCACTTCTGTAGTTTTTTGTTTCGAATGGAATGAAATTAACAAAATGCAATTCCTTTGTTTGGTTAAATTTTGTGCTTTGGTTTTCCCAAATTACCCAGTGAACTTTACTTCCTAATTATTCCTCGTTTTATGCAATAAATAATATCTGATAAAATCATTTGACATTTGACCCGGAGGATCATTCACATTCCTTGATGTATTTTTGCAACTTTTGGCGAGAAGAAATTTGGCAAAGACTTCCATCCTGCATTTCTCATATTTTTTCAAATTATTGATTTTAGAAAAGAATGCTACCAATAAATTCGCTATTAATGCTATTAGTGCTAAAAAATTCCAAGAGTCATTCACGTCACTGATAAAGTCTTTTTTTTTTAGCTATAAAATCAACTTGAGATTCAAATAAGTCTTGAGTACGAAGTAAGACTGTTTGTCTTATGTCTACATAGACGAAAAAACTTAGGCCATTCAAATTATCAATAAATTCACCAAAACATTATGATACCCGGAAATGCGTACAAACAAACTGATTGGCTGATAAGCTGGCAAGCACATTTTATCACTAAACTTCAATAACACTGCAATTGGTAGTATGCCATCTGAGGAGGGGAAAAGAACGAATTATTTTTTAATTATTATACCTTCCTAAACTAATCAATCTCGTCATTCATTAAATGCGGATGAACCGAAACACTTTATCATTGATCTAACAATGACAACATTCCGAAATATTTACATAAAAACTTTCTGAGAAAAATTTTAAGTTTTAAAATTTTTTAAAATTTAAAAGATTTAAAATTTTTTAAATCACACAATGCTAATTAATTTCAATGGTATATGCAATGTGAGAAATTAATTTCGTAAGAGTAATGTTGCTAAATAAGTTATTTCCTGTTCTGCTCTATCCATTAGTTTGATAAAGTTCCTACATCGTCTGAAAATTGCACACTTTAATTTTGATTTTAATTTTTGAAAAAATAAAAAGATCGAATAAAAAAAAAAATGGACGGAATCCGATTTTCCTCTTCAAGAATAACGTATTGATTTCATCCATTATTTGATTTATAGAATAAAATTTATTGCAGAAATTAAAAAGATCCATGATAAATTAAAATTATTTAAAAAATTATTAAATTAACCTATGAACATCGAAACTTCCGAACTTCCGATTAATCTTGAGAGTCTTTAGGCCAGGTTGATGGTCACAATTACAAAAGAAACAAAACGGTTGATAAGTTCAAAACAAAGAGCTATCTCTCCTGTTACCATCGAATAACAAAACATTCATTATATTTGAGTAAAAGTACTGATAAAAAACTTCGTTTTAAAGCATGAAATAACACAGAATTAAATGCACTGATAAATTGAAATGAAGCATCAAATAACTAAATTGTCACATATCCATTTGTCCGTTGTCGTTTTTAAGTTTACATTTCTTACCTAAATAAACTTTCCTCCGCGTGTGCGACTTTGACAAAATTGGAAAAAAGTGAAATTAGGGAAACTCTGGAGGGAAATTAGATAAACGAATGAATTTGAAGCCAAATTTCAATACAGGAAAATGGAAATTTTCAAGTTTATTACTCAGATTCAGACAACTTTATTTGCCTCTTCTCTTTTGATTTGTTTGAAAGAGACTCCCTTAACTAAATGATCCCCAGTTTTATGCCGCAGAAGAATAAGGCAGTAGAAATCCAGACACCTCCGGAACTATCAATTCATGAATATAATTCAATTCAATAAAGCATTCAGGTTGTTTATTAGGGGAAGACCCACATTATCAACTGACCAATGAATAAGGTAATGCAGCTGAGTCGAATGATATTCATTTAGTTTTTCAAAATTTAGAATACATATAGATTTGGAAACACTACTATATTCTTCCAAATTTCTCCTAGTTTGGTTCTTTTCAGCCTATTTTCCATAAATGAACCATATTTTACGATTGTTTATCAATAATTCCTTCATTCACTCTGTATCTTTTTCGTTCTGATCATTTTCATTTATGAAACCATTTCATTCACAAACAGATTTATTTTAACACAAAACATGTTTGAATGTCAGGCACAAAATATTGGATTAAACATAATTAACCGTCTTTTCAAACTTCACTTATTCTTGACAATTGGATAAACTTCATCGAATTGGAATATACTGTGTAAACTGAGGTAAGACAGTCAATTGTAATATTGCTCTTTAAACCTTATAACAAAATTTAATAAATTCTAATCAAAAAATAATCATTGATGTTCCACTTTGACTGCCGAAAGAATGATACCACCAGTGATAAACTGTTGCATAATCGGATGCGAACGATCCTGTATGACTTGGTGACTACGATAAAAAGCATCCACAATGTGTACTTGTACAGCATGCCTTGCCTTTAACCAGTGATATGCAGAATATAGTGGCTGAAGAAGAAAAACATTTCAAAAAATTCAAATAATGAATTTGAAAACCCACAAAACATCAAAAATTTCAGCAAAGTTTTCAAATCATTAAGCCTCAGAATGCTTGCATGAGTGCAGTAAATGTAGCATCAAAGGTGCGCATCAACGTATAACAATTTAATTGTATGAAACGAGCGAAAACGCTTTTGGAAAGTTGCATGACGAGAAATCAGTATGGCCGCAAATCAATTGCAGAATGATCAATGTGGATAAAGCCAAGCAAAAAGTAATTAGCATAAGGTTACCAATGAACGATAAACTCACTATAACATCTGTTAACGACATTTTCCTATCCTGCCTGCCTCTTCGCTAACTTTTCAGCCGTTATTAAAAAACTTATTTACCTCAGCGATTGGACAATAAATAACAATTGTTGATGACAGACGCAAAGATGACCACGTCCTTTCCAAAATTTCCACCGGATTGATATTTTTACTGGCAATAAATAATATTTCAATTTCACCATTCCGCATCAACTCCCACGCTTGTCTCCGCAAGCGTTGTCTTTCTGTTCTTCTTTCTAACGAACTGTCGACAACTGTTGATGCTTCCTGAAAAAATTTTGAATTTCAAATTTTCTTATTTTCTTTCTTCTTTTTTAATCCATGCTATCAACACGAGTTAAGTTTCAAATTAAGCAATTTCAAGACAAAAACCCTCTCGCCATCGTCTCCATGTGCAGTACTGCCGTTGTCTTCCTTCTCTTGCTGCCTTTCTGCTTCGTCATCCTTCTTGGACAAACTTCCCGCTTCATCCATTCCAATTATTGCTCCTTGTTTTTGATTCATAAGTTCTTCGGTTTCCTCCATAGACTCTTCTAACAAATTGGATATGCACAACGGCAAAAATGCTGAACTAATCTGAAAAATAGTTAACATATTCTGAATTCTAAAAAAAATCGCCAAAAATCCTCCAGTGAATCCACTGTGACAAAATAACTTCTCCGGGAAACCTCCAAATCATCAAAGGAAAACCCAGACTTATATATCACAAAAATAGACCGCTTTATCAAAATCCATGCTATCAACACAAGGAATTGCTTGTGCTATATCTCCACGATGTAGGTGGATACAAGCTCCTGATCCACCCAAACGTGTTAACACGGCAGACGTTAGCAAACCCAAACACTGTTCGAAGACAACACAACGTGAACCGTAGTGTATACCACTGAGAGCCAAGAGATGAGATAACAAGTCAATTCTGGAAATGAAATGAAGCTCATATCAATTATGTCAAAAAAACGAAATTTATATCAGTATCAAATATCAATGAGGGCATCAAACTCACTTATGAGAAGCATCAGCTGGGTAGCATTTTAAACTTAAGGTTTTGAGTTAATGTTAATACCATTGGTAAGTAATGTATGGTAATGCTACCGCTATTACGCATCAGTATAGAATAATCTTGTTTAAAGAAAAACGATATTAAAGTTAAAAGTTATGGTTACTAATTTACAATAAAAGAGTTCTGGCTCCACAAAAGCATCCCCTAATACATTCTTTTTCAACTGATTACCGCCCATAGCAAGATGAAATCATACCTGAGATGTGCGACTCTTTCAGGATCTTTCTTATAGTAAGATTCAGCGATTAAGCGTAGAGTTGGTTTTAAAAGGTAAACGTGATCAGAATGTTTCTTCGCTTTCTTATTGATATATTTATTTTGTGAATAAATCGTACGTTCGGAGAATGATGCACTACCATCAACCAATCTTGCTATCTACAAATTCTTTTCCTATAAAGTCCAACAGCTTCGGGATGGAAAAGTTTAAGTTGGAATGTAAAAGTTAAAGTTGCACACACTTTTTAGATATCACTTTACATTCATTCAGTGAAAATGCCCATCAAGGTGACGAGAGATAGTGACCACTTCATTGTTAAAAACCGTTCTAACTTATTGAAACTTTTCTAATTTGCCTCCAGTCCCAAATTTAATATCAAAAAAGAAGCAGAGGATTTGGAATCTAAAGCCCCTAAGTTTTAACATGTAAAAGCCAATTTAGCATCCATCGACGTCCTTTCTCCCTATTCCTCTGGAAATCCTTAGGATAACTTGTTACTAAAGTTCTGCATAACTTATGTTGATAAATAAATAAGTAATCTGAACAAAACTTTGTATTTAATATGCATGCCAGCGGGTGTTATCCAAGCTTCTGCAAATATTCAACAATGCACTAACATTACCAACTGCTCCGCTGGTACGCCTGTATCTTTCATTTTGATTATTTCATCCTGCGTCACTTTCTGCCTTACTTGTGCCGCATTTGCGCATTCTACTTCCTCTGCTGCTAATCTCGAGATATCTGCTGCATTACTGATACCATTTAATTTGGATGATGAACTTGTACTAACTGTATCTGTAAATATTACAGAACTCCTTACAGTGATACAATAGCACTACATAACAGATCTATAAGAAGTGAGAGGTTTATGAAGTAAACAAAAAACATTGCAAATAATAATGGCAAGTTATTCAACGCAGCATGTCCTTTTAAAGTGCATGACTCTGAGCCAAGCAGATATAAGTGGACCCCAAAAATGACTGTTGACCCAACTGTACAATCACTTCCTTCTTTAAACTGTTATTGGCTAAATGAGGATTAGAACTGTTTTCAGAACTGGCTGTATTCTATATGTCATACAAGAATCATACCAAAATCGAATGCAGCAGCAATATCCGTAATGTTTTCTGGTGCAACGCGTGTTAATTTTCCGGCGGAAACCTAAACAGTATGAATTAAACCACTCCAATCCATCGATTAAAACAAAATGAAGTATATGAAATTTTACATCATAGCTAATACAACTGTTGGAAGACCTTCAAATAAAATGAATCCAAACAGCACCATACAACAAAATTACCTCAAACAATCCGTACGGCTGATCAATTGCACCATCAATTTCAAATCGTAATTTTTCGATCAAAATTTTAGTTTTTCGTGATATTTTGCACACGCGTAAATGTTCGCCTCCCATTTTTTGGATAACAACGTGATTCCCGATTCGTATCATAATAACCGGTAACTGTACTGAAATAACTTTAACATTGATAAGCAGCGAATATACTAATTTAGATGATATACGTGGAAGCTCCTTCACGTGTTCGCAATATATTGTTCTCGGCATCATCTTACTAAAATATTTCTAATATTCCATCTCAGAAGCAAATAAATTCATCCGTCACGGAGAATCTCTCCGATGATTTAGGTCCGTGTCGACAAAACAAGACTAAAATTCAATCCAGTTCGGAATGTTAACTCAATTCATTTCTAATAAACTGCAGAATTCTCATTAATCGGTCCTCTCTCGAACATTTTCGAAATGTCCACCGCATTTGAATCTTACACCAAATCAAAAAGGTTGGTTGATATGAAAAAGCGCTGCTTCACGTTGCTTGGATTCACAATGCAACTATTGTAGCAAAATGAAAAGCAAACTTCAACTGGCCATATACATCAACACTCCCCTCATTTTTGCTTTAATTTTCCTCTGTAAATACTCAACGGTTGAAAACACTCAGAAAATAATTTCCGAAAATGTTCCGAAACCGTAGAATCACCATAATGAATCCTACCACCTTCACCCCACCACTCATAATATTGTCGGTATAACACGCAACACCACATAGAACACCAATTCTGAAATGACAATCACAGCATAGCCCAAACGAAGACAATGTAAAGCTTATCAGGTGAGGAATGAAGATGACTGATCATCCCTACAGTTATCATTTCACGCTCGAGGCAGCTAACTTTGCATGGTTACGAAGTACCCGCACTGACTATCGCCCACTGCTCCCCAAAAACAGAAGGTAGCATCCAGGTGTCAATCCGATCCACGGTGAAAGTGCTCAGAAATAGCACTACCCACACGCAAGCCCTCGTAGTTCCATCGAACTTTATAAATGAGTAAAACCATGTCCAGTCCCTCTCGCACTTTTTCGTTTCTCTGTGTTTTGCAAACACGATGTCTTTTAACCTTTCAAGCATGAAATTGGGAAAACAAACAATGGAAAGAAATAACTTACAAAATATGTGCTTGGATGAATTGTGAACTGATGGTAAACGACCGTTGTTACATGGTAAATTCTTTTACATTTCCATAGAAAGAAAAAAGCAACGGTCCCACAATAGAAGGAACGGGAATAACAGTATGGGGGTTATAGAAAGTTGCTAGTGGCAGTTACTATAACAGCAATTATACGAATGGACTGGGACAGGGTAACTTATGCACATTGAGAAGTCTTTAAATCAGAAAAAAATTAAACAAGGAAAAACACTGAGACCACTGACATGAGTGTAGAAAAATATATTTAAATATGCTAGCACTGAAGAAAAAAAACCACCCCGTGAAATAGCTAACTACTCCGATTTCAAACTCCGCACCAACCCCGATAATGGTATCCCTCGGTCCTGGAAATCCGCAAATTTTGGTTCCTTTAAGTTTGAAATATAACCTCACTTCTTCCAACTATTTCACAGTAGCGCAGCAGCAAGTAATGAGCGTCTGTCGAAAAATACAAATCCATGAAACAAACGAATTTACAATACACAAACTTCAGGTTTGTTTTTTTACTAATGAAGAAAACTAAATACACGTATTTGAGCGTACATAAAACCCCTTTCTATATCCTTATGGGGAACAAAAAATGAATGAGAGTCAGAGCCGGCGATTAAAATCAAGTCAACAACTAATTCAGTATCGAAATTTGATTTGAATTACCATCCAGCCATTCCAGTAATGCACGTTTGTGCATTTCAACGTTTCAACAGGGCATGAAAATCGTCAACAAAAAATGACACAAATTTCATAGAAATTTCTCCAATAACTCACATCAAATTATGACACCATTTTTACAGACATAAGCATCGCACAGATATACATAGTGTGTTCTTTTTTTTTGTACAAACAATTTTTTCGGATATATAAGCAATCATCCCTCGCAGTAGTAAGCTATGGAAAATCATGGCCTTAGACTTTATTAATTCCCAGCCCCTTTTAACTCTCATCTTACAAACGGCGCAGTACCTACACCTGCATCTAAGTCATTTTATAGTTTACCCTGCAATATCGTTCATCCTTGCAGTGTCAAATAACCATCTTTCATCCTCATAAAACACATTTTTCTACCCGAAAGTTCAGAAAATGTCGCAAGAACTTTCAAAGCTACTAAGTTGTCGATACATAAAAATACGGGTAAAACTCTCTGTTCGAAGCTAACGCACCATCTTAAATTTTAAAAACTGACTGTTTACCAAACGTAGCAAATAAAAATTTCCTATTGCACTCACGGCACGACAAGATACTTATAATGTCAAATTTTTGGAAATTCATCAGTAAAACCCACCTGCAACCTAATGTCCCATTCAAACTTGAGGAAAAAGAGGTAAATGCAGGTAGTCAATGAATCTAATACTCATCAACACGAAAGCAT